ATATATATATATATATATATATATATATATATATATATATATATATAAAGGCGTTTAAAACCCTTCCCACACTCTTGCAACATTCTAATCAATGTTTCTAAACGCTCTAAAAGAGCACAGCATCTCTGCTCTCTGTCACCAGCTGCTCTCTGCCAGCACTCTTGGCCACGCCCGCTTCTCCACTGCAGAGCGGAGATCATGCTGCAGGAAGGAGCTTTTTCCTGCACATGTGGGCTGCACACTGGTGCAGCAGGTGCTATATAATTTAAAATAATATATTTTAAATAAAAACATCCATTCTGATCTTGCGTCTCGTCTATCAACCAATTGTGTGTCATGTCCAATCTTACTTTGAAAAACCGTGAAAGAGCGTGTCCACAAAAGTCGAACTGCAAAGTAGCGATGGACTACTGTAACTGTTTTTACAGCTTAATGGGCCCCATTATTGGGCACCATATTATTTTAAAGGTATTTATGAAATTACCATTAAAACCCATAAGCATGATTAGAGTGAGTGAGTGAGTGTCAGTGACCACAGGACCTTCTACACCTTCTGGGAAGACCCATAAATTCAACCCATTAAATAGTTATATTTACATTTTATATCATATTTTTTCAGTGTGGCTTTTTAAATTTTTTTGCTATTACTCATTTTCCTTAAACTCATTTTATAGATGAACAAGAAACGTTTGCTTCATAAAAATATAGTAATTCACTCAGATTCTATTAAATTCGCGTCTCCACGCAGAGACTTGTTTGAAGGTTTTTTACGACGGGTGAGGGCTTCATTATCAGGAGAGACGGCTGAGCTAAGTCACAGTTTCTGCAGGATGAGTTTGTTTAATAACCGTCATAAAAATTAACTAATCACAATGCTGATGTACACAGTGGGACCAAAACACACACTGTTATACCCTCAGTAATCCACTTTTTTTTGTACAAAGAAAGATTTGTGATACATTCAATTTTCACCTGTAAATTCAAATATCCAATCTGAAATTGTAGTTGCTATATAAAAAAGGAGGTTAAATATCTCTTTTAGGTTGATTTTCTAAATATATTTTTTGTATTATATTTGTTTGTTTTTTAATTAATTAATTTTACATAATGGAATTTTACAGAAACAATTGTTTCTGGGTGTTACTGTTAAAGTTCAGTGTGAATTCTTGAAATTACATGTACTTTAATACAGTATAGGCTTGGTGAGCTGCAGGGTCAGATGGGTAGTCGGGACAAAAATGGGTGGTCTTTTTCAGTTTATGTGTTCAGATGGGTCGCCCCTGTGTTGTTCTGTGTGTTAGTGTTGGCATTTACGTTCGGGTTGATGATAGATAGAAAATTATGTGATATTTCCATTTATTACGGTTTTCATACTCTTTCAGGTCCAGACAGAAATAAAGAAAACCTGGACACGTTGGAATCTGGCCTTTGACTGGGAGGGCCCAGTGGTCTGCGGTCGCTATCGATACGGCTCTGTGGTTGTGGGTTTGAACAACAACAGCACCAGCAGTCAGTCCCATCTGGCAGGTGGTGGGCTTTCCACTCGATCCACCACAGTGGCTTCCAGCCGCATCAGTCGAAGCACAGGCCCCCCATCGATCAACGTGCACGCCACCCTTCCAGGGTACGTAATGACAAACTCAGACCCATCCATACCAGAGGAACCTGAAGACAGTGGCCCTAAACAAGTGGACGATATCTCGCTGAAGGAAAATCTGGCAGTCCTGAATATGAGTGCAACAGTGGAGGATGAGGAGGAAACACTGTAGCAGACCAAATCATGGAAACACTGTGGAGACCGATGAAAAACTCTGCAGATAGAGCTTTCTACTCATGGTCCTCCATGGCTTTAAAATGTGAAAATAGATGCCTTTAAAAAATAAAACCTGTTTGAAGAACCAGTAAATGGATAACAATTTCTATCTCCGTGTGGCTGAGGCAGCTCAGGATAAACCACAATGCTGACTGAAAAGTAACGGTACTGTAGAGGTTGAAGCAACAGCAAACAGGAGTCATGGACATGTTTTTTATACATCAACAGACAAAAACCTAAATAAAATACAGAGATCATAGTAATATCTGCATGAAAAACAAGGATTTATCATTGAATGTGGTTTGACTGTGAGCTTTAGGTGTTGAAAGTAAATATTTCAGTTGTATACGTATTTAGGCATTATTTTGAGTCTTCACACATGTAAGCACATCCTGCTCTGGTGTTTAAGGCTATGGGGATTGATAAAGCATGTTACGATTACCGGTAGTTATTGTAGGATAAATTGATACGTTGGCAGTTTCCCCAAGATTTGGAGATGAGAAGCTTGAGACAAATAATAGAGCTTTTATGTTTCTTGTTAACCCAAATTGTACATATCCAACAGCCTTTGAAGACCACTCAGTAAATTTAACTTAAAACAAACTGTTCCACATGGTACAAAGCTCCAATTGTCTGATTGTATTATCATTTGTTTAAGGACACATCTATAGACTGATGTAAAGCTAGAATCAAAACAAGCACACAGGGAATTGCTCACATTTTAAAAGTGTATAACCAAATTGTAAGAGGATGACGGCACTAGTAGCATGATGATTGTCAAAACTTCATCCAGAATGTTGTAGCTCGATAAAATTTATTCTTGCAAGCAGGTTCTCGCAGTGCTTGAATTTACAGAAAGTTTAGTTTTTTGCCATTTCCTCCATGAACTCCATAAGTAAACAATGAGCTTTCCTGCAGGAGGCGAAACAGCACCTGAATAGCCTATTTTGGTAACAACTGCATATGTACTTGATACTTACCTGGTACATACAGGGTAGATACGTGGTATTTACTATATGTATATATATATATATATATATATATAGCAGGTTTGTACCAAGTAAGTACCTGATAAATACACTGAAAGCACATGTAAGTACCAGGTATGCATCGTTTATACACTGTAAATACCAGTCACCTGCCCAGTCACAACTGGTAAGTACCTGGTACATAGCCTTACCAAGTAGTTACTAGGTACATTAATGGTAAGTACCATGTAAATGTCATTTATTTCTGGTCATACCAAGTGAGTACCTAATTATTACAAGGAATATACCCAGTATGTACCAGGTAAGTACCAAGTACACTCCCTGTAAGTATCAGGTACATATAGAGCAACTACTGGGCTGTATTGCTTCCTTAACTGTGTTTACTTTAATATCTAAAAAAAGAAAGGGTTTACACAAGTGGTTGCAGACACTGTGGGTTTTGAGAGCAGAGGAAACTCCAGCAAATAGTTATCGCTCCCCTTTATGTTACCTTTGTCATGTTAAAACTAACTTTTATAGTTTTTATTTTTTAATTTAAATGTACACAATTAAATCTGGTATTTTGATGTGTTTGACCAGAATTTTCATCTATATCAGCTCCAATAAAATTAGCAACACTAACTTTTAGCTTTCAGTTTTTAAATCAACAATCAATTTGAATCGTTCCAGAAATCACTCTGGACAAATTTAAACATTATTTAAGTTGTAATATGAAACATTTTGAGAAATCGTTATGCAAACTCAAATTAAAGTTGTAATTATATGGAAAATGCAAAAATTGCAGAAGCAGACAGCGCAGGCAAACCAACTTTTTCCCATGATGATTTCCCATATTTAATTCATGTCATGCTTACAAACCTTTTTGTTAATGATTATGCTTTTAATCATGTTGGTATTTCTAAGTAAAATTTGTACTAAAATAATAATAATATATCTAAAACAAAAGGGTTCCAATTTTGTCAGTGATTAAAAGTGGTGATTCAAGATGAAGAGGACACAGAATAGCACATTTATATGTTTGAGAACATCATGCCAATATTGTTTAATGTGAACATAATCACCTTTAGTTTCTATCTATAAAAGACAAAACAAAACATTTATTTTAGCACAGATGGTGTAGCCAGAAACCCTCTGTTGCCTCTGATTACTGGCAGCACCTGCAGCCACTAAAATATTTGCTAACATGGGCTCGTTTGTTAATTTGTTTGGACCTGAGGATTTTGCCTTTTTTTGCGGTAATGCCATATTTCAGGAAAACAGTGTCAAACAGAATCACTTTTAACCCTGATAAATAGGATGGTTTCACAGATGTTTACTGAATGGTTACAGAAAGTCTATTTTTGTGGTTTGTGGTCATAAATTTCACTGGGACCCTCAAATACATTGATCTTAACCTTCAACAAGTGCCTCATGCTGATTCAATGGTCAATGCTTTATAAGTTTACTTTAGTATTTTTAATTAATTGCACTTTTGCTCATTTGTATTTCATACAAAGGTGTTTTTACGTTTTGTACTATTCAGCCAATGCAACAGAACTGATGAGGGAAAATACTGTTAATGCCCTTTTATTGGCTCAACTGAGTGACTTTCAGGGTAAAAGTTAAGGACCATTTAAAGCACCAAGAGCCAAGGTAAAACACTTGTAAAACTCCACATTGTGAACAGTTGTGTATTTTTTTTAACAAAAATTATGATTAAATAAAAAAATGTTTTCATATAAATTGTTCAAAATTTCTACATAAAAACAACATTAAATCTTTTATCCACCACTGGCAGTCATTGTGCTGGCTGTTAAACAGTGGAGAACATTTGGTGGTATTATTCAACCCTTGTATCGTCCTTTAATTTTATTTTCATTCATGTTTCTTAGAGGAAAAATTGACCATGTTTTGACCCCCCCACCCACACACACACACACATAAAAATCTAATGTCTTTTAGAGTTATCTCAGCCTGAAATAAAATGATCAAATTTAAATTGATTATTTGATTTCTTTAACACTTAAAGGGCAGTGCTTAATTTGAGCTGGATCCTGCTGGAACAGGATCCGGGGAACTCTCTTATATTGACAGTGTGCATTCCAGTAACTGTTTGCTAGGATCTGGCTGGGATCCAGTAACTCTCAGGCTTACTAATAATGAAGTTATGAACAAATTTGACTGCCTTGAATGTCTACAACTTATATTGGATATGTAAACTGAAAATTATTACATAAACACTAATTTTAAACACAACAGCATACTTCAAGCATTTCTGCATCTACCCTTAAAAAAAACTCTTCCCCTAAAAGAGTGGTGGGAGTCAGTATGAGCTAACCAGGCAGTCGTACGCAGGCAGAAGCCCACAGGCAGAAGCCCACAGGCAGAAGCCAACAGGCAGAAGCCCACAGGCAGCCACAGGCAGGGGTCTGGAGGTTCACATGTGGAGTCGGACAACAACAAGCAAGGATAGTGTCGGGCTCGCTTCCGAGCCCGTCTTACTTTATGGTTCAGTCAAGTACGGGGGAGAGGAGGGATGCTTGACAGAAGCAGAGTATTTACAAATGTAGGTAAACACAGATGTTTAACAACTCGTTAAAATACAACAAAATGCAGGAAATCGTATCTACTTTATTCAAAATTTTCTGGGGGAGGACTTCCAGATATCCCGCCCCATCCTCAACACCCCCCTCCTCCTCATAAAAAATTATTTTTTTGACAATTACAAAAACATTCCAGTCTGGAGTTTTGTGAAGACCCTCCAGACCACTGGAGCCTTCACAATTGGTAGCTGAAAATGACTTTGTTTTTGTTTAAACTGACTCGTATCTTCCAGTCTTCGAACATGGGGGTATTTTCCTAATAATGTTTTCATAAAAAACAAAACAAAACATATATTTTTTACATTTTTTAAACTCTACCCATGATAGAATGGCTAGTTTTTAAATTGTTTTTCACTTGTATTGACCTGGATTTACGAGCTAGCCGCAAGTGCACGATGCACCCGTTCAATACTCTTCCTGCCCTCTAGTTTACTGCATCTCTGTGGAGCATCTATTGGGATAATGTAAAAATTGAAAGTTTAGAAGCAAAGATAAAAAGACAAAACATTACTGAGAGGAATGGATTATTTTATAATATGATAAATATGGGATACAAATTTGTGTTTAAAATTTATTTCAATATGGCTGATTTTACCCCTCAGGATTATGAGTGTGCAGTAAACTTACTATGAGGTTACGAGAGCATTTGAAAAAAGAAGGATTTTTAGGCATTTTCAGATAAAAGAAAATCATGGATATTGTCTTCAAATAAAAAAATAAAAATAAAAGCACAGACAAAAATGAATGTGTGGCTGTTTATCCCCCAAAAGACAATACAAGGGTTAACCGCGTCTATCTGTTGTATGCCTGTTCCCCTCCAGCTGCAGCAGAAGCACACAAAACGTTTTAAATAATTATTTTTTAATTATTTCATGTGCTGAAATTATTCAAAGTGTGTTTATCTGTGATGCTGATTGGTTGTTCTACTGTTTTCTCCTCTAATGATCCTCTTGACTCCCATGTCTTTCAGGTGATAAATGTTTAATGTTTTTTGCAACAACGTGTCAAGCTGTCTTTGATTTATCTATTAAAATAAAACTACTGTCATGAACATTTAACATTTTTCATTTGCATATGTGATTATGAATATCATAGACATTATATAAGCATTGCATATTGTTTGCTGTTTTTTGTGTATTTATTAGAGGACATCTTGGCATTAAAACCATTTATATAAGGTTGTATTTGAGCATGCGTCCTCGCTTGAACAGTATTCTTGCTTTGCTTTGCCACTGTTTTCCTTACAGAACAAGGAAACGACTGCAGACAAGAACAAACCACTGTCTCAGCCCTTAAAGTCAACTATTACAAACTGGAAAGAGTGGAGGAGAGATGTACCGATGTGCGAAACAGAGGCATCCGACTGGAGCTAATGAATGAAGAGA